TAAACCCTAAACCCTAAACCCTAATGAAGGCCTATATCTGTAAACACCCTTTTAAACCCATACAAAACACTTTAAAACCTTAGCTATATACACTTTAATTCATTATAAACCCTAATTTGTAAAACCCTAATTCAAAAACCCTAATTTATAATAAACCCTAGTAAACCCTTATAAACCCTAAAGCAATCAAGCTAATAGAAACCCTAATAAACCCTCTTAAAACAATATAAACCCTCGTAAACCCTAATAAACCCTCATATAAACCGTAAAGAATCCTAATTAATAGAAACGCGTAAACCCTAATTAACAAAGTCATATAAACCCCAATTCTAAAATATAAAACCTAAAAATCTAACAACTATAAACCCTAGGGTTTAGGGTTTACGCGGGTTTTGCTGATAGCTTCTAATAGAGATTATGTTTAGGGTTTAGGGTTTAGGGTTTACGTGGGTTTTGCTGATAGCGTCTGATCGAGATTCTGTTGAGGGTTTAGGGTTTAGGGTTTACGCGGTTTTTGCTGATAGCTTCTAATAGAGATTCTGTTGAGGGTTTAGGGTTTAGGGTTTAGGGTTTACGCGGTTTTTGCTGATAGCTTCTAATAGAGATTCTATTGAGGGTTAAGGGTTTAGGGTTTACGCGGTTTTTGCTGATAGCGTCTAATAGAGATTCTGCTGAGGGTTTAGGGTTTAGGGTTTAGGGTTTAGGGTTTAGGGTTTACGCGGTTTTTGCTGATAGCTTCTAGTAGAGATTCTGTTGCTGGGGAAGAGGCAACGAGTCCTTTCATTGTTAGCCGAAGCTGCTCGAGGGTTTGGTGAAGGGTTTGTAAAAGAGAAGTAAACCGCGACCTTTCTTGCAGCAAGAAAACACCTGTACATACACCCCAAACCCTAAACCCTAAACCCTAAACCCTAGAGAATAACCAGTATGACAGGAGGGAGTTAAACCCCAATACAGCGAAGAAAGCATTAGGTGTTAAGCTCAAAGTCGAGGGTTTAGGGTTTAGGGTTTAGGGTTTAGGGTTAGATCCTGAAACCCTCAGATCTACCGCCTGGGCATGCAGGTGGCTGGCGTTTTGCTTCTTTAGTTCTTCGTATCCAATAGGCTTCAGGGTTTAGGGTTTAGGGTTTAGGGTTTAGGGTTTAGGGTTTAGGGTGTTACAACTTTATTTTTGAGTCGTTTTTGTGTCTCCGTTGATGTCGTTGCCGTTTTGCCTAGGGTTTAGGGTTTAGGGTTTAGGGTTTTTACCGAGTGCATCTTGTGGCTGTTTGAGCATATCGTGTTCTGCGTCTGTATCTGCTGTTGGAGCTGCTGCTGCTGCTGCTGTTGGTGCTGGTGCTGCTGTTGAGCATATCGTGTTCTGCGTCTGTATCTGCTGTTGGAGCTGCTGCTGCTGCTGCTGTTGGTGCTGGTGCTGCTGCTGCTGCTGCTGCTGCTGCTTCTTTTGCTTCAGCGACAGCTTTAGAGACATCCACTTGCTGCGGCTGCTGCAGCATTAGGAGACAGCTGCTAACTCGCTGCTGCATCTCCTCAACTTGCGGGAGCAGCAGGTGCTCAGCAGCAGAGCCTCCTGCTGCTGCTGCTTCCCTGCAGCACAAACCCTAAACCCTAAACCCTAAACCCTAAACCCTAAACCCTAAACACTAAACCCTATACCCTAAACCCTAAACCCTTTACCCAAAACCCTAAACCCTTTACCCAAAACCCTAAACCCTGAGGGTCTCACAGAGGCTGCAACCCTTGCAGCAGCTGCAGCAACTCTCTCCCTCTGTCTCTCTCCAGCAGCACAGCAGCAGAAGGAGACAACCCTAATAACTCAGGAGACACAGCAGCTTGAGATTGAAGAGCAGCAAAAGCAGCATCTAAATCCGCTTCCACGCCAATCGGGCCTAAACCTGCACACAAACCCTAAACCCTAAACCCTAAACCCTAACTCCCACACAGCAAACCCTAAACCCTAAACCCTAAAGACCCTATCAGACAACGAACAGTCAGCCATAAACCCTATGCAACAAACAAACCTAATCATAAACCAAAACCCCTAGCCAGCACCCCCAAACCCTAAACCCTAAACCCTAAACCCTAAACCCTAAAGGAGAAGTGTGTGTGTTTAACAAACCTTTATTTGCAAACGCATTTGGATCTAGAACCAGCTCTTCTTGAATAAATAAGTTAGCGAGACACCGTAGACATCGTTCATCCCAATGAGAGGTGAGGCGGCCGCCGTGCGATATATCAGTGATTAGACGACGAAGAGGAGCAGCAGCAGCAGCAGCAGCAGCAGCTGAAGCAGCAGTTGAGGTGTATAGGCACCTCAACAGACATAAAGAAGCCCCCAAATCCCCCCGAGTAAAACAATATGCCTCAGTCCACCCTAATGAACCGTATGAACAGCGCTCCTGAATTAAACAAACCCCAACCATATCACAAACCCTAAACCCTAAACCCTAAACCCTAAACCCTAAACTCTAAACCCTAAACCCTACACCCTAAACTCTAAGCCCTTAACCCTAAACCCTAAGCCCTAAACCCTACACCCTAAACTCTAAACCCTTAACCCTTAACCCTAAACCCTAAACGCTAAACCCTAAACCCTAAACCCTAAACCCTAAACCCTAAACCCTAAACCCTAAATCCTACCTGAGAAACAGCATGGAGGAGGAGGAGAGACAGCTTGAGGGCTCTCCAGCAACGAACTGTCTCCGTGTCTCCTTCCTCTGCAAAAGGGTGCAGCTTTAGCTCGCTAAACCCTTCTTGAAGACAGGGTCTGAGATAAACAGCAGCATCAAACCCTCAAGGGTTTACGCCTTTATATAGCCACCAAACAACATATATATA